TTTAATTAGAATACCAAAAGTGGTTTCATATGTAAAATTTTGAGATATTAATATTTTTTGATTTTTTTTACTAAAAAGTTTGTTTTTTGTTACATAAAAAAATGATCTACATGTTACACCTGATTTTAAATTTTGATTGGCTTTTCTAATGCTTTTGTGTAACAATGTGTATACACACTAGTATACAAATAGAAATTCTCTATACAAAAATATATTAATATAAGGTTATCCAATTTGAATAAAACTTTTAAAATATTTATTTTTTGATCTTCTGAACAATTTTTGCTTAATAAAATAGATTAATTTACTAGTAAAATTTTGATTTTACTATAGAGTAACTATTAATAATTATATAAGTAGCTTATTTTTAGATTCAAAAGTTATATACTGTATTTTTTTTTAAAAAAAAGAAAATTGCTTATTATTGAAAATAAATTATTTTTGATAATATATAATATATATATACATAATTTAAACATGTTTATAAACTTTTGAACTAAATTTGAACTAAATTTGAACTAAATTTGAACTTGACTTAAAAGTTTAATATTGAATCTAAACTAAGCTTTTTTAAAAAATATTTAAGTTTAGTTTAATTTTAAACTAAACTTGTACTTGGCTAAAAGTTCAGTTCAGTTCATTTCATTGAAATACTAATAATAACTATACAACCTCTAAACTATGAACTATTTATATACTACACCAATGTTCTAGTCTATATAGATAATATTTTATGATTAATATCAGAAAATTTTAAAATTAGATTATTATTAATTAAAATCTAAGAATTTTAAATAATTCTCATCATCACCGTTGATTAAAATTAATTAGAATTTCATTAATTATAATCAATATATATAAAAAGCTATCAATTATAATTAATTTAAATATATAAATTTATATTAATTATTATTATTATAAATTGTTATTAATACTACTGTCGATTATAATCGCTTAAAGCTAATCAGTTATATCTAATTAATTGTTTGCAACCAATTATAATTAGATTTCAAAATTTTTTAATGAACTTCAACAAAGAATTATTTTAAACAATTGTTAATTATGCTTTTTATTCTATAATATGACACATATTATAGTCAAATTATTAAGTTAATTTTAGTCAAAACTGTATTACAGATTTGGACTTCTTTATTAACTTTGTATATAAAATATTTTTGCAATACTAACAAAGAGACATTTTGATATTTAAACTACTAATTTATAGTATTCAATAATTCTAAATAAATCGTTACTCTAATACTGTAATAAAAACTTTATCATGATAAGATGATCTGCAAAAATCAGCCAAACATATATGTAACGATAAATTTTTATAAGGGTTATTATTATCTAAATTGTACAGAACTATAAAATGGGTTACGCTAAAAGGGTTAGACGCATTGCTATTTATAGATCGGAGTGCCAATAATTCTGGAAGGTTTATTGAAATCGTAAAAAGTAAAAAATTTCGTCCCCAAAACTTAAATTTGGGGTCCAAAAATTAGTTAAATTCGACAAACGTGCCGTAATGACATTTCCCGATGGTCATTCCCTGACAGGATATTTAACTGGATCGCATAGCGTGAAAATCATTACAGTAACAAAATTATAATTGCAACTAATACGTAATTTAAATTATCACACTGTGTGATATAGATTAGAAGGAAATTATCATCAGGAAGTTGAACGTTATTGTTAATTAGTGGTTAAATGAGTGCAAAAACTTAGCCCTGGAACACATTGCAATAAGAAATAAAAGTCAAGAACCCACTGATGCTTAGAAATTATGTAGAAAATTCAATTGTTGCGAATAAATTATCATTCTAATTTAGTTCAATTTCTAAATTTTTTTTTTGTTGCGCAAAGAATAAATTTACCAACCAGTTTTTCAGGCTTCATGTAATATAGGCGAGGCCAACTTGATTTGGTGGTTTACAATAAATCCCTTCTCAAAAGAAGGGGAGGATAGAACGTATGCATAGTAAAAATTTTATTAAAATTTTTTTTTCAATCGGAAGTTATCGGCCTGACCTTGCTCGTCTTTTATGTTCGTTCGTTTTCTCTTCGGAATTTTTCGGATCCTTACAATTTTTAATCTTAATTCTCCCCGGCATTAGTTCTCCAGCCAAAATCATATATGTATATCCCAAAAATTTTTTACTAAGAGAGAGGGAGGGGTAAACCCCAAATCAAATTGGTCTGGCTTTAAATCCATTGAAGTAACAAATGGTCGTAATTCCATAAATAAAGAATTTGTTTGTTGTTATTTTTCAGATCATAATTTGTTAAAATTGGAAATCAAGTGTACTTTTTCCCGACTGTATATGGTAGTACTGTACTTACCCCTTTATATGTACGTACTGTACGTACACACGTACATAACTTTAATAGCAGCATTTTATATTGTACATCGCTCATGATTAAATGTTTTACTTTATTGTCTTTTAAATAGCAATGGAATCAGATAGAGAAGGGCAATCTCTAAATATATTTTCAAATATAGATATTGCCAAAAACGAGGAAGTACTAAATCAATATTTAAAATCTACTAGTAACATAAGCCCCGAAATAAAAAACGATATAGGATGGTGCTATCAATATGGAATAAGTATTAATAAAGATGAAAAGAAAGCATATGAATGGTATTTAAAAGCTGCCAACGAATGCAACTATAGTGGGTGTAATAATCTTGGCTGGTGCTTTGAAAATGGCATAGGCGTTATCGAAGATAAAATTAAAGCATTTGAATGGTATTCAAAGTCAGCAAAAGGTGGCAATTCTAGTGGACAAAATAATCTTGGACGTTGCTATGCAAGTGGAATAGGTATTGATAAAGATGAAAATAAAGCATTTAAATGGTTTTTAAAATCAGCTAAAGGTGGTAATTCTAGTGGGCAATTTAACCTTGGTTTGTGCTATAGGAATGAAAAAGGCACAAATCAAAATATGGAAGAGGCTGCAAAATGGTTAAAAAAAGCAAGAAGCAATCAGCTTCAACATGCTGATTATGAAAATCTTGATATTGATATTACTGAATTTCTAAAGAATTCAATGTCTGAAAATAAATATCAATTATTTTGGATTCCATACAATGAACTTAAAAACCTAAATCCGCAACATAATGTTGCAAAGAGCGCATTTTCTACTAAGAATTTTGCGAAATGGACGTATTTACATAAAAAAGGAGCAAGAACAAAAATGGTTGTTGTAAAACTATTTTATGAATCGAAAGATAGTTACGAGATGTTCATGAAAGAGGTAAACATTTAATAAACGCACTACTTTATGCATAGTATAATTTTATTTAATATTGTTAAAATAACTTATGCTCTATTTTTTTCTAAAGCTAAATGCATATTACATGATTGGATGTAAGGATCCTTCGTCTTACCAATGCTATGGAGTAACGAAAGATGAAAAAACTGGTTATTATGGTTTGGTTATCCAATACGCACCACTAGGTCCCTTGAGATATAATCTTCAGTCAGTTTCACAAATGAGATGGATAGAAAAAGTAAATTTATTATTCTATATAGCATATGACCTTCAATTGATTCATTCTCTTGATATTATCCATTGTAATCTAGAAGATGGTATCATAGTGCAATCTGATGCATATAACGCATATATAAATAGCTTTTCATTATCATTGTCAACTCATGAAGCATTAATGGTAAGCCGAGAATTGACTAGAAGCTTCCAACATGCTGCACCAGAAGTTATAGCCAATAGTTCGTTTACCAAAGCATCAGATATTTACTCCTTTGGAATACTTATGTGGCAAATTTCTTCGTTTCTACATGCATGCATGCAGATTTGTTTATGATAAGTGTTTATAATGGAACGCGACCAACTATCCATAAAGGGACGATATCGTGTTATTCAGACCTTATGAAAAGATGTTGGAATAATGATCCAACAAAGAGACCATCTGCTCAAAAAATTTATAGAATTCTCGCTACTTGGAAACATGATGTTGTAGCTTTTTATGAATCTGATCCAATCGACTATAATGAAAACAAGGAAATTGATTTAATTATCCCAAAGACGTATACAAATCTCAATGAATCAAGTGATGAACTTTTTGGTAATTTAATATTCCTCTAATTTGACTTCAAAAAAGCATTTAATTAACGCATATTATTCAAATCTGCATATTTAGAAAATGAAATTGTGAAATCAATAAAGTTCATACCATGGAATGAACTAAACAATATTTCAAAACTCGATGAGGGTTATTTTGGTATGTTAAATTCTGCAAGTGTACGAGACATTATAAGTTGTAAATAGTAAATAATTAATTACTTTTCGTTTATATTTACTTAGGACTAGTAAGAAAAGCTTATTGGACAAAGACGCACAGTGATGTCGTTTGTAAGGAATTAGTAAATCTTGAAGATATAAACGGTGGATACTACGATGCATTTATTCATGAATTAACCATGCATACTAGGTCAGATCTTTGCGAAAATATCGTTCGATTTCTGGGAGTCAGTAAAGGTATTTCTATTTTGCAAATAATTTGATTGTATATTTACGTAAATTTATTAGTTATATTATGTATAGATGCTATCAATGACCAATATTTCCTTATCATGGAATATGCCAATGATGGGAATTTACGGAGCTTTCTTAAAAAAAATAACCATTTATTGAATTGGTATCAAAGATTAGAGTTGGCCCATCAAATTACAAAAGGATTATGCTATTTGCATAGTGAAGAAATTATTCACAGAGATTTGGTAAGGTAGTCTTAAAATAATCTCTGCCAACAATGCATTAAACGGGCCAGGTTCAGGTCAGATTAAAAACTCGGAGCTTAATGTTTCAATCGAAACAATCTAAATTTTCAATTATTTGACCCCCTTTTCGTTCAGATTCAAAAAAAAAGTACAACATTAAAGTATGCATGTATCATTTTAGCATCAACTGCCTGATTTGGCCCGATCGGTGCACTGCTAAAATTTTATATTTAAATCTCATCTCAAAAAAATTTTGTTTAGCATGATAAAAACATTGTTATCCACAATGGAAAAGCAAAAATAACTGATTTTGGAAATGCTACAAGTATTAATACACAGGCAAATATAAACACTAGCCTTTTTGGAATGATTTCATTTTTAGCTCCTGAATTGCTTAAACAATCCGAATCGGATAATATACCATACTGCAAGAAAACAGATGTCTATAGCCTTGGCATGATATTTTGGGAATTATCTAGTGGTCGCCCACCATTTGAAAATCATTCAAATTATATTCTTTTATCTCTAAATATTATTCAAGGTTTTAGAGAAGATGTGGTTTTTGGAACTCCTGAAGAATATAAAAATCTTTATAATGAATGCTGGGATGCTGACCCATACAAGCGTCCAGACATCGAATATGTGCACAAGTTATTAGAAGGAATGACTAAAACCTTGCCAAATATTGACCCCATAACTATTAATCATGAAGGTATTATAATCTGTTTTATTTAGTTTGGGGTCTGTATTAACATGAGAGTTATTTATCTAATAATTAAAATTATAAGATAATGATAATCCAGCAACTGAACAAACACAGTCAACGGAACCTTTCTATGGTATATTGTGTTTATTCAATACGTATTATACTATAAATGGTTTTATCGTTAATTGTTATATTATTTTGCAATTATCAGGTTCAAAAAGACTTCAAACCTATTTGTAAACGACGAAAGTGAAACGTAATATTAAATAACAGAATTATAAGTCTTTCAAATAAGAATTAGACAAAATTATCTTAAAACTGTCTTGTGATAATATTTATTTGTATCTTAGTTTAGAAAATGGCCTCAAATAAAATCTTGGTATTTTATGAAAAATTGTAACCTAAATTTTACTAATCAAGACTATTTTCAATTTATCGCTAGGAGTAAGTGGTTTTATTTCACCTATTTCATACTCCTAGAAGATGTTACACTTGCCATAAGCTTTATACTGCCATCTAATATTCTTACTAGTACAAAATTTGATTTAATAGCTTATAAATCATTTCTTGTATTGTAAGGAGGTTATAGGCTTTCAATAAGGCCAAGCGTCTGCACATAAGCATGAATTTATCACTTAAATGTAATTACTTATTTTTTCTTCACACTTTTACTGTTTATATAAAAATTAAAAATAAATTATTATTATATTAGCTAAATAATTTTAAATTAATTATGGAGCTTTGCAGTATTGGTGACACTATTAATAAAATGTATTATTAATCAATTTAGAATAGGTGGTTTAAGCCTATTTAATTACAACAAAACATATGATGTTATATACAGTACAGTATGGCATGATCAGCATTAGGAAAAGTACAGTAGAATTAAATCATGTGCATTGCTGTGTCAGTATAAAATCCCAAAAGAATACGCATCAATAAAAAGTGAACATCATTAAATTTTTGTAATCACTACTGAAATAATGAACACATTTCAATGTTGGAGCTTGATTATACTTTTAAAATTATGAATTTATATATCGTTGAAATTATGGAAACTCCCACTGTCTACTCGCTACGAAGTTGTGAGATTGCATTGTTAAAATATTGATTACGCCTATTGTTAAAAGCATATGATTGAAATTACGAACCTGCTCACTCAAATCCATTTGCTATTGAAATCGTGAAACCATCTATCATTTAACTTATAAACCCACTCACTCTAAAATCATAAATCAGCATTGTTTAAATCATGAACCTATTTACCACTAAATTGTGAATCCATTCATTATTGAAATTGTGAACCCACCTACTATTGAAAATTGTGAACCCACCTACTATTGAGATCACAAAATTATGAGCCACTGCCCACAATTAAAACTAAGATCGTATGCATATCTACCGTTGAAATTACGAATCGACTCGCTGTTAAAATCATGAACTCACCTTTTAAATTATGATCCCCACCTCATTAATTTATTCCTTATGTGAATTACCAGATTATTATACTAATTTAAATGCAAAACGATCGATAATACTTCTAGCTTTATTATTCCATTCATCAAGATATACTGTCGCAAATCCACATCGCCCAATTTCTTCTATAATTTTTAATACGATATAAGGATTCCATAATAATAATTTAAATACCGCCTTTTTAAATTTTTTTTTAAAAAACCTTTTTTTTAATCAATTTATACTAAGCTACAATTTGATTAGAAAAAGTTTTTTATATTTTTTTAATTTTAAGCAGTTATATCAATTTAGGTTATTGATAAATTGAAAATTTGGCGCATTTACTAAGAGGGGTGTTGGTTTATGCTGCCCCACACTGTACGAAAATTTATTGACAAAAAATTTAAGATTTAGTTTGAATAAGTAATTGTTGTGGCTAAGGCTGGAAATATTTAAATATGAAAATTTTCAAGTTTTTTAGATTGTATTGTTTTTATGTAGTTAGGTTAGTTAAGATAGTGAGATTCATATAGTGCAAGTGGATTTTAGTGAGGTTCATATTTTTAAATAAAAGATCCTGACATATTTATAATGATGTACGAATAAGGTAATTCTACTTTATAGCAGATAAACTATTATTAAAAATAATTTATTAAAAGTCAGTTAAACCACGATTTCATATCTAAACGTTAAACCTGATTTTGATTCAGTTTCTGGATTTTGAATGTTTTACTCCGCTCTCCTCAATTAATTACTGAATTAACAGCTTTATATTAAAGTTATCCTACTAATCGCATGATTTACAATTTTATTACAAATATTATTGTTTCTGATGATGATACTTGTGTTTATAAAATATCGATAATTCTACGGACAGTGCAAATTCGCGCAATACTGTATTATTAAAATCATAAGCAACCAATCACATTAATTTGCACTGAAGTAGAATTTTCGTAAAAGATCATATGGATTAGGACACAAAATCGGGGATCTGGGAGGTTCTAATAGAAATTGAGATTTTTATCGAGTTGTATATATAGATACATTAGCATATAATAATTTAGTGTAATCTCATGCACAGCATTTTATCTTACTTGTTTCACATTCTAAATTTAGATTGGTAGATAGTATAATAATAAATGTTATTTAACACTAACACTATATTGCAAAAATCTTAAATATGATTAGACGAATAGTGACGATTTTTTTATTATTAGTAAGATAATTCTATTTCATCACAAATACTAAATTCGCATAAAAATGATTAAATGCTGATTTTTGCAAATGCCGTATAAAATTGTCAGAGTCCTAATTTGCTGTATACCAACCTACTTTGCAGAAATTTGGTTTTTTGCTAAATATATTTATAATATAGCTATTATATATTCACTAGATAGTTACAATATTATTAATATTAATATATAATAAACATATGGGGTTGAGTCGATAGAAATCAAGCAAATTTTTTCTAAGTAAATTTTTTTTAACTTTAAACAATAATAACTCAATAAAAACTTAATCAAATTTAATAAAAATTTTTTTAAATAAATTCTACAAACTTATAGAATTTGTTTTAAAAAAAAATTTTATTAAATTTGATCAAGTTTTGGTTAAGTTATTAATATATAAAGTTTTAAAAAAAATTTAATAAAAGTAATTTGCTTGATTTCTATTGACTCACCCCATATAGTAAATATATACTAGGAAATCAGAATCTGATAGAAGTCTGAAGTGAAAAAATTAACCAGTTAATATTTTGAAGTTTTAACTACTTTGCTGCATTTCTTTTTAAACCCTTGCAATATGGTACACCAGAAGGTAAAGTGAATTTTTGCTACTTACAGTTTAACTTATATCTGAAATAATTACAAATTATCCTGTGTAAAGTTATTTTTGGCAGACTAAATGCCATACTGATGCATTTAATTTGTCATCGTGCAATGCTAGAGTAACAGACACTTGTAATAAAAATGAATTTACGTTAAAATTTTTGTGTATAACCTTAAATTGAGTTACACTAACTGCAGATCATCATGGGAACCGTTAATTCTCAATTTTTATTGGCTGTATCAGACATACATTGCATAGACCTGCATTCAAGTTTGCTCAATCATAGTGAGTCCTCGCTACGCTTTGGACAATTAAAAATCTTTTAAGTATATTATAAAATATTTTTTTATTCTATTAAATTTCTTACAACTAAATTGTAATGATATAATTAAAATATAGTAGTAATATAATTTTTGTCTAATATAATATCAAAAAAATCTATTATAAACCTAATAAAGATATAATAAAAATATAATAAAATGAGAAATTTAAAATATTTTAGTGATATAAATATAATATATTAAAAATATAAAAATAATACTACAAATATTTTAATAAAGTATTTTAGTAATTATAACTAGTAGTAATTATCACTGGTGTATAATTAGTTAATAGATTTGCAGAATCAGGTATAATATGCAAATTAATTTGTATAATAACAATAAAGATTTTTTTAAAAAATATCAATATCTTAAGAATTTATCTATGAAATTACCTTTAACATTCTAATAAAAAAAATTGCTTGCTAAATTTTATATATATTTAACATCTTACTAAATCTTAGACCTCACCTTAACTCTAAAGTAAATAAAATAAAATCTTTTTTTGGTTTATTATTATTGACTAATTATATGCTAGTGATATATCCTAACTAAAACTCTTTAATAAAACTTAAATTTACTAGATATAATAGATAATTTTAATATATTTAATATATACTGTTTTATTGCTAAAAGATATCTAATAGATATAATTAAAAATATATTATTTGTTAAAAATATAATAGTTAGATAATTTATAAATATTTGTCATATAATTACTTTATAACTTTATAACTAAAAAATTTTTAACAAGTAACTTTATCATAGTAATTTTTTCATATCAAAGCTGTAAAAATTTTTAAGTAAATTACTTATATATGGTAGTGATTTTTAAAAAATAAATTTAAAAATCTGTGCAGAATTTTATTAAATTAAAATCTGCACAAATTTTATTAGTAAAACCTAATAACCAATTAAAATGCAAATAAATCATATGATAGCCATTTGTATAGCACAAAGATAATATGAAGGATGATCATCTCAGATCAGTCCAGCAAAACAAAAACAATAACAAAGAAAGTAAAAAAGTAAAAAATGTAAAAATACAAAAAACAGCTATCTAAACCTATTTTGGAGTATTAATTAAAAATGTTGAAAAGGCAATTTTATATATAGTACTTATCTTCATTCGAACTCTGTATAATCTAAACCTAATCAAAATCATGTAAACAGACATAGTTTTAGGCCAGAGATGCATAAATTAAACATCTCTAGCTAGAGATGCCTAGAATTGTTCTTAATAATTTATATACAAACTAATAATAAAAAAAAATTAAATAATTTATTATTTTATATAAATCTTAATTCTCTGTCATATTAAATATTATTTATAACTACCTTTAATATAATTCTTTATACTTAAATAATCATATTATAACCAGAATTCTTACTATAGAAGATTCTTAGACTTCATATTAATTATTGAGAATCTCTTATATAGTTATATTTTTTTTTAAGCTTTTGTGTTTTATGCAAACTTTAATTTTTAATTTATTATTTTCTAGATAAAAATTTTAATAAAGCTAAAATAAATAAATATAGTTTATTATATGATAAATTATAATTCACAAAAAGTAAAAAGTAAAAATAATAAGTAAAACAAAGAAAATATAAAGCAAAGTCAACAATAGTAAAGTATAATATAAATATAAAAATATTATTTAATGAAATATTATATTCATAATATCATATTAATATAATATCTATATGGTTTACTTAGGGTTAGGGTTCAGTTTTAAGATTAATAGAGATTTTTTATTATACAATATATATTAGATATAAGATTCTAATAGGTCTCAATTTTAGTTCTCATAAGGTTTTCAAAGATGCTGAATATTTTTACTTAGAGCACCTATATTTATTTATTTAATATATTTTAAGATATAATATAAGGTATTATATAATACAGTATTATAAATACAATTATTCTTATTTAATTAATATAAACAAATTTTTAGAATAAATTTTGTATAAAGGATTTATTATAAATTAAAAAAATAATTTCTTATTTATTATAATTTTATTTTTAAAAATTAAAGAATTTAAAAATAGAAATATATAATTATCCTTTCAAAACAAATCTTGTTAAAACTAATTACCTGTTATATTCAATAAAAAATTGCTCTATTATGTTTGTTTTATAATTCAAACCTGATAATCTACTATTTTTAATAACTGATACTCAAATGATTAGATATCTATAAGATATCAGATTTGTTGAGTAATATAAATTAATTTAATTAAATCAAATTAAGTTTTGTATAACCAAGTAGATATATAATAAATATAATTTAACTAATTATATTTATTTATAATTACATACCTTCAAGCTATTTGTATCTTAAATCTAATTACTTCTTAAAACTAATACAAAAGCTATTTACCATGTCTATTAAATTTGAGAGAGTATACTGTATATAATTTTTTATTTTAAATTGTTTTGTAAATCTTTTTATTATTTCTTAAACTATATATTTTAATATACAAATTTGTATACTAAAATTTTTAGAAGAAAATTGAGATATAAAAAAATTTTTTAACAAAACCTTTATTCTAATTGGTTATGATGACTTTCTGAAACCCATATCACATAGTATACTTTATAGTTATAGTGTGAAATACTTTATATAATATGAACAAAAACCAAATTTTACTTGATAGCTATGAAATATGCTTTGCAACCTGAACTTTGAGCTACTATATCTCTATAACACTGTCTTAAAACCAATAATATAAAATTAATTATAAAGAATCTTTAATAACTTTAATATTGTATTATAAAAGAAATCTGTGTATGACAATTGTAAAAAATCTTTATAAGTATTATATGCAGTTTTTTTAGTATTAAATTTGAACATCAAAGTCTTATTACAATCCTATTAAAATCAAATTATGATCTACATTATATAACTTATTTATGAAACATTATCAAAAAAAATTCATAAAATAGGTATTACATAGCATTCAACATGTAGAACATTTTTATTTTAGCTTAAAAAATGGGTATAAAACCTAATAAAATGCTGAGTAATAGATTTTTAAAAATTTATATATACAAATATATACATTATACAGTTAAAGAGATATTATTAGCCTTTTTTAATTATAACAAACTTTTAAATATATACTCATTTAAGGAATAATTTATTCATTACCCGGGTGAGTTACTCACCCCCTTAAGTACAAAAGGGAACCCCAGTCATGTTAATATATTAGGGTTAAAATTAAGGTTAGTGTTAGGGTTAGCCTAAGGTAAAATTGCAAGAGGAACATTTTTGCTTATGTTATATGACAGGAGTTATCTTAATAAAATTTTGAGATATTGGCATTTTTTCAAATTTTGTTATAGAGGGGTGAGCAATAACAAATCTCACCCCGGGTGAGGAATAAATTTACTCTTTATTTAAAGTTAAATAAAAGGAAAAATCTAATTTTACACGTAGTGTATATATACGGGTATGATTTGCAAATTTGTGTAATGTGCAAATCAAAACAATTTCTATATAGAACGAAAAGTTAGACATTGCTTAAGGTTAGAGTAAGGGTGGATTTGGATAGGGTGGAAAATAGCTTATACCAAAATTTCACGAAGAATTTTTTTGTTAGAAGCCAAATGGTGGTTTCATAATCAAAATTTTGAGATATAGGATGGCTTTTATATATACCCGTGTACAAACACCCGTGTACAATAACCCATTTTTAAAAATAAACTACTCTATATATAATTTTATATTTATAAAAAAAATTTTAAAAGTTTTTAAATCTTTTAATTTCTTTTTAAACCTTTTTGCTAAAGTTTTCTTGTATTAAAATACTCTTTTAGTAGAATTTATTTCTTTCGCTTAATATATTTTGTACCAACTACTAACTTGTTACCTTTTTCTTCTAGATTTCTTTTTTCTTATTCCAATTTTTTATTTTATTTGAAGTTATATTTTTTTGACTTCTTCCATTTTGTCTGACTCGGTTTGTATTTCACTTATTTATTAAAAGATTAAATTTTATATGAACGCTACTTTCAAGTAGTTATTTATTGCTGCTTTAATGATTATAGATACAGTCGTTATTGCTCTCTTTAATGATTATAGGTGCAATTATTTATTCTCGCTTTAATGATTATAGGTGCAATCGCTTTAATGATTATAGATACATATTTAAAATACTTTAAAAATTTAAAGCATTATTGTTAAACTGATAAACTGACTTTAAAATCTAAAAAATTTTAATTATTCTAAATCGCTAAAATTAAACAATATTATTTTAAGAAAGGAATTAATAATCCAGCTTTGAAACCCATAAATCAATGCCAGGAACAGGTTTAGATAAACCAGTAAGTTTCTTTTTAAAGGTAAAACCTTCAACTAATTTAAATTCAAAATTTCTAATAAGCACTGATAAAATTGATTTAAATTCCAAATGTGCCATCTTCATTCCTAAACAATTTTTTGGACCAGCGCCAAAAGGCAAGAAATTACTACTTGTTATTCTTGATTTTATTTCTGGATCAAGCCATCGAGATGGGTTAAAATATTCAACATCATCACCCCAAATTAAGGGATCATGATGAGTTGCGTAGATAGGAATCCACAACGGAGTATTCTAAAAGAAAAATTTTAATGCTATATTCTATTTTATTGTAAAAAAATTGAACTATGGAGTTTATGAAAATACCTTTGGAACCAAGTAACCATTCATTATTTCATCTTTAGAAGTACAACGAATGAGAGTAGGCACTTTAATTAATAAATAAACAAAGGCGGAATAAAATAAAGTTAATAATAATTCAAATAGGGATGTTAACAGTCTAATCCAATCCGGTCAACGATAGCTTAGTCTTTGTCTAGCCTATCACGTTCTACAGGCTTAAGACTTTGTTAGTCCAAACCGGTACAGATTGGTCTAGTATTAAAGTTGAGAGCAAATCGATTGTTTTCAGGTCCCGACTGTAGTTCATAAGTCTAAAACCGGGCCACTGATATTCCGAATTCAAAATATAAAGAAATATTGAACTATACCAGGTGGAATAATCCTCAAAGTTTCCTTAAAGACACATTCTAAATATTTCAAATGTTCAATCTCATCAATAGTTGGATGATGATTACGATCGGTTAATACATCAAGCACTTCTTTACGAAGACGATCCTGAACATCAGGATTTTTTGCGAGAAAGTATAGTACCCAAGATAGCGCACTACTAGTGGTCTCATGTCCAGCTAGGAGTATTGCCATAACCTGAAATTTGAAAATTTATATTTTAAATATAATAATGCAAATAACGATTTAATAAAGTTATAGATTTTAGTAAATTTAATAACTTATATATGTTTCAAATAAAAATTATAATTCCAATAAACAATTTAATAAAGTTATAGATTTTAATAAATAAATTCTTACCTGACCAATAAATTCATTATGTGTTAATTGCTCATCAACTGGCAAGTTTTCATTTGACTTTATCAACAATGACAATAAATCATTTCCTCGAACTGGACTATTTTTTTGTTCAACAACCAGTTTTTCTGAAACATTATTGATAATTTTAATAGAGTGAAAATATTGGTTATTATAATCAGTTGGCAAGTTTCTTATAAATGGAAAGTGCTCAACAAGAGCCATATGTAAAGGCGAAGGATTATGGCCCACTATTGTTTTGTATGCTTGAGCTAATTCAGAGTCTGAAGTAGTAGAGTTAAATTCGTAATTAAACCCTATTTACATTAAATAAGTGATTACAATTAAGATCGGAAAATTATTGATAAATTTAACATGTAGGACCAATACAAACCAACAAGACCAATAACATCTAAAGCTATCTTTGGAATTAATGCTGTAATCGTAATTCTTTCCTCTTTCTTGTTACCAATTTGTTTAATCCAGTTGTCTTTTAATTTATGACCAGCTTGAACGAATGTTGGAACCATTTCCTTAAAATTTAAAAGATAAAATAATAATAATTAGATACAATTGCACAAAAATCATTTTTAACAGTCATACGTATTATTGATGATCGTAAAAAAAAAAAAAAAAAACCTTAATATTTGCAAAAGCAAATGAAGGATTCATCATTTTTCTTTGTCGTTTATGAGAATCACCCTCAGCAAGTATGATGCCTTCACCCACAAATTCCTTGACCATGTTTTTGTTAAAAATGAACCTTGGATATTCATATGAACGATTCACAAGCACTTGTTGGACAAGTTTTGGATCGGAAATTACTATGTATGGTTTATTCCATAAGCCGTGATACTTAAATATCCCATCATATTGTTTTGATAAGTAAGCAAGAGCTTCACCTAAATCTTTATTTAAAAAAGAAGCATAGTGTCCAAGAATAACATTGTCAACAGGTGGACCAGGAATTTTACGTAAAGGAGACAAATATAAGGGATAAATGTAACACTTGTAAAAAGCGTAGCTAATAAATGCAATAATTGCAGCCAAGTAGAAATACATTTTAGAGAACAAGATGTGGCTAAAAGATAATGGATATAATGTAATCTTTTTTTATTCGCATAAGAATCAGCCATTATCACCTATTTTATATCAAATTTCTTAATAACATATATTTTAAATTTTGATGAAAATTTAGGGAAAATGTTATGCCAATACGGATTTATTGTTAACCCGTTACGATTAATCATGACTCATGCAATCGTTTAGCGTGACCTTAAAATGAACATATGAGTGCCGCCAAGGGAAAACCTGCAAATCTTATTAAATAAGATTTACGGATTTTTCCTTGGCGGCGCTCATATAACAAACATAAGCCCACGTACATATATGTAATATTATATAATATAACATATATCCAACTTACTGATCTGAATTTTACTAGGTCCATTTTAGGTTAGAATTCCTCCCGAAGTTCAAATGTCTGCATATAAGAGAAGGTGATAAATTGGTCTTTGTTAGCAAAGAGTTCCTTCGAATTATGATTTACATAGTCTCAATAATCATTTTGTTAGAAAAGATTTAAATTCTAAACTGCTGCAGCAATGGCACACCCGAACTTTGAAAGGCCATTTTAGGTAATCTTTTTTAGCGACTTTTACTTTGAGCTTTATATATATATATATGGGTGCGCCAAGTGAAAGCCAGGAATTCTAAATAGACTTCTTTCCATAACGGCAGGGACACGGGAATTATGTGATTTAGTGTGATTAAACAAAATCACACTAAATCGCATAATTTTGCTTCACTTATATTACGGTAGTATTATTTGCACTCGTTTTAAATTTTTAGTATCGTAATATTTAAAATATATAATAAACTATGATATTCTAGTAGTATATTGATTTATATAGTATGCTAAAACACCATAAATAAATTCGTCTTCAAAATTAGAAAGAGAATTTTGCTGTTATTAATAGTTTAAAAGAACAACAAGTACTTGATTTAAAAATAACAATTAAGGTAATATTGTTAACTATAAATAATTTTATTTTTAGATTAATTATTCTGATACGCTTACAAATTTCTATTAAATCGCACTTTTAATTTTTAATTATCAGTAAATCGAATATTTCATATATACTGCACGCATAATTTACAAATTCTTATCGCATAAATTCCGTGTCCCTGCATAACGGAATTCAGGTTTTCAACTAGAATA